TTCTGGTTTCTGCGGCCTGATGTATTCGTAACTGCTCTTGGTGATGATCTGGCTGAGGGGGTTCAGATCTATGTAGAACAGCAGCGGGGACAGAGCATCTCCTTGGTAGATGCCGCACTTGATGTTGACTTGTACAATTGGCTTGAAGTTGGCCTCTAGGATTGTTTTCCACATTCCCATTGAGTTCTTGATGAAGGCTCTTAGAGTCCTGTTGATGTTGTACAGTTCCAAGCATTCCAGGATCCATGTGTGAGGCATTGATAATTTTTTTTATTTTCTCAGGAAAGGAGGTTGGAGAGACGGTGCTGTTTTTTGGCTGCAGACATAAGAATGAGGATTATATCTACCAGGAGGAGCTGGAGGAAGCTGAGAAGAAAGGGGTCCTGACGCAGCTTAATGTTGCTTTCTCCAGAGACCAGGAGCACAAGGTACGGCTGCTGTTAGTATTCCTTACAGCTAATGCCGGGTTCCACGGACCAGGTTTAATAAAAATATACCATTTTTATTTTACCCGGAAGTCCCATTGAGATCAAGATCTCTTTTTCCAGGGAGACGTGGCCAATACAAATTTACAGCATATTAAAATTCAGCACATACAACACAGTATACAAAAAATCCATTCACTTTAGTGTGTATATATAGGCAGTAGTCGTTGGCCATTCTTTTTAATGTGTAAAAGAGTTAGCTAGAGCTGAATTTACCTGAATATTATAGCAGATGGAAGATTTCACTCACTGCAGCTGCACTCATCAACACTCTGATACGGTACCTAATGGCAAAAATTAGTTATTTAAGAAACAAGTCGATGCCTAGTTAATCAACACACAAGTCATTTAGCGAATGAAACAAGTGCACAGTATACTTTGTATATTTTTGTCTGTGTGTATGGAGCTCTCACCGTCTGTGTCATGAACTTGCAAACAAAATCGCTGCAACTAGAACAAGGTTTTCTTCTTTCATTGTCCAAAATAAAGGTGTATGTGCAGCATCTCCTGAAGACAAATAAGGAGCACATCTGGAAGCTGATTCACTCAGAGAACGCTCACATCTACATCTGCGGGTAATTAAGAAATTTGATCAGTAACAAAAAGAGAAGACTGTTTACAGTCATTGACACATTCATCTTGTGCAGTAGTACTGTTTTTGTTTTTTTAGGTTGGTTAAAATATTCTTAAGTTGACAGTTTTTATCTTTTTTTTGCAGCTATATGTTAAATTTGACCATTTCATATGCAACATATAAAACAGTTTCTAGTGTATTTGCACCTCCTAGTGGAGTTTGTAAGAATCAGAAGCAAAGAACTTGAACCATGATAGATGTTAACATTATCACAGGCTGATATCTGCGTTTATTTATTTCATTTTATTTTTTAATTGAATTGAAATGTAGATGACAAAAGAACTATGGCTGCAAGATACCCAAATAATCTCTCTTTGCGTAGGGACGCGAGGAACATGGCTAAGGATGTGCAGGCGGCCTTCCACGACATTGCCGAAGAATTTGGAGGCATGACGCATACCCAGGCCACAGATTACATCAAGAAGCTGATGACTAAGGGACGCTACTCGCAAGATGTCTGGAGTTAAAGCGTTTCCTAACCAACCTCACTTTCATTACTCAAGTGATGGTTTTAAATTTTCTATTTTTATGATATGTATTGTTTTGTCAGGACTGATTATCAAAAGATAAAACACTTGTTCATACTCACCCTGGTTCATGAGAGCTACAGGTAGCAGAATATCATGAGGCAAACCCTACCTCAGCTGGTTTTAATAAACCCATTTTTGTCTACATTTCCTACTTATGTGTACTACTTTGTGTATCTTGATCACAGGCTTGTGTCTGCTGGAGTCCTCGCTGGATCCAGTGTCTCAGACCAGACACCAATTAGCCAGTCTGTTTTCCCATGATCATTAGGAGATGTAAATGAATTAATTGGTGAAACTGAGTGTTTGACTGCAACTTTGAGGAATTAGATGTAGGAACCTGTGGGCTTGATTGGAATAAGAATGATGAAATGCAGCCAAAAGTAATCAGCACCTCAGATTTAATTTGCATTAGACACATTTTCATACTACATACTATAATATTAATGAGTTCCTCAGTTTGGCTCCACAGCTTCTTACACTGATGATGACTCAGAGTAGACAATGCTAAGTTTAACAGAGACATGCTGATCCCAACATCTACATGTACATAATATGCCACTGTAAACATGAAGATTTAAATTGAACTTTTAGGAAGGTTAGTCAGTTTGACATTTTGTGATATTTGCAGATTTCATTCAGCTGATGAACAGATGGTAGCAGATGCTGTATGTCTGTTTGAATTCAGAGTGTTGTGTGTTCCTGTTGCAGGATCAGCTCTCAGAAGAGCTTTAGATATGATGCTTTGAAATGCAAAAAAAAAATTTAAAATATCAGTAATGGAAACCTTTTGAGAGGCACAGCAAGTCATGCAAAGGGGAAGATGATTTATTGGAGGGGTAATCCATGAGATTTGTTTCCCATAAAACCCTGTGTTTAAATGTAATAAAACTGAATTTGTACCTACCCTGTAATATTTGTAAAACATTTAAGATGTTAAAACTAGATCTGGGCTGCCAAATAGTTGTATATTTTATATGCATCTGACATCAACATATTATTAACAGGGTTTGTCTGTTAGGTAGCATGTTTTGTTTTGGGGTTTTTTTGTCTGATCACATATCCCAGCATATTTGTGTGAATGTGGGGAATTTGAGGAGGTCAGTCAGAGTGGAACTTGTGCCTTTTAGAACTGCCTTATGTTTTAAGTTAATATTAAACCCTGACATGTCACTTTTCTTTCTCCATACTAAAACATTTTTAGAAAGTCAAATTCATACACTTTACCCAGCGCTGTCACTTTGTCATTCCATTTTATGATGTAATTATTTGATTGTATTAAGGCAATCATTTTTAATGAATAAAAATTGGAATCGTTTGTTGGGTTGATGTCTTTTTTTGTAATTAAATGTTAGACAATATGAGGTCTATTTACATAGTGGCTTTTAGTCAAGTATATAGTAGAATGTTAAAACACAATTAGCATCAGTGTTAAACAGCTTGCACACACAAAACATGACCTACACTGTGCAAAATAGTATATGAAGTTGAGATCAGCATAGAATCTAAATCGTTATTGGCCAAGCATGACTAGACACAAGGGCTCCTCCTGGAGTCAACTGTCATCTCCACTGTTTTGAGTGTCTTTAGCTCCAGGTTGTTGCAACCGCACCACAGGACCAGCTGTTGAACCTCCTGTCTGTAGGCTGACTCGTCACCGTCTCGGATGAGACTGATTACCATTGTGTCATCTGCAAACTTCAGGAGTTGAATGGAGGGGTCCTCTGAGGTGCAGTCATTTGTGTAGAGGGAGGACGGTAGCGGGGAGAGCACACATCCCTGGGGGGTGCCTGTAATGATTGTCTAGGGTGCTGGATGTGGTTTTCCCAGCCTCACCTGTTGCTTCCTGTCTGTCAGAAAGCTGGTGATCCACTGACAAGTGGCGGCAGGCACAGTGAGCAGTTATTCTATTAATTCCATCAGATCATGTCAACCATCTGTTTCAGCTCAGTCACTCATAGTATTCTTGAGCCAGTAATGTTGAGAGATTAAACCTGCACAGGGCTGCAGTGTTAACTGAATTAACAGCTGCTCTTGTTAGAAGTGACTTACAGTAACCTGAAGCAGCCTGTTTCACAAAGCAGGTGTACTAATCTGTATCTGAACAAAACCCAGAACCCTAACCTTAAATCTGGAAAAACGGCTGATGTGACAAATCCAAGAGATTGTCCATGAATACCACTTGTATGTCTTTACATATATCCTGATTATAAAATGATGAAAACTGCTTAACTAAAAAACACCTGCTACTCTACTGCCCAAAAGTTGTAACACACAGATAAAATATTAAAAACATTCTACCCGATCTCCTCTTTCCTGTCTCTAAATATTTCAAGATTCAAGATATTTATGTTACATGTACAACACAAAAAATGTGGATTGCAGCAACAACTATGTAAATAGCAAAAATAAGAACGGGCACATATCAAACATTAAATAATTAAAAATAAAATATTATCAAGTAATAGGTAAAATTCTAATCATCACACAAGGTTTATGAATGTATTAAACAAAAATAATAGCATAAAATAAGCAAAAAGTAAAGCCTAATAAGTAGGTGGCCAGCTATAAACTACTTTTAAAATTGCAAATATCAGTGTAAACAATATCAGTAGAAATGCCTTGTCATCATCTGTCCTTTTTCTGACAAAGTGGAAACACTTGCCACAGGGCAGCTGCT